AACAACGGCTCCCGCTTGATACTTCCTCGAAATGTATTCCGGTCCCCCGCTCCCGCTTGAGATCTCTTCGCAATTGCCTGAAGAATCGCGCTCCCGCTTTAGATTTCCTTGCAATTTACTCAGGCACCGCGCTCTTGTCATTCAGGAATCGCGCGCTCGCTGGGGACGTCTTCGAATTTACTTGGGAATCGCTTTCTCGCTGGAAACGTCTTGGCGAATCACGCAGAACTCACGAAGAAATATATACCCACCAAAAGTGGTATGATCGAAGACGAAGAGGGCGGGTATCGAGGGTTCGGGAAATGCGCGCTGACTGACACTCGAGCAGATAGGAGCGAATAGTCTGAAAATTATTATTGTTGTTGTTGCTGCTGCTGGTGTTGTTGTTGTTGTTGAATTCTCATTTCTGAAGAATAATTATTGTTAACCCCCCCCCCACCGGTGCATATTGTTTTTCTCAATCAAAGTGTGCCCCTCGACGCTCGCACCCTGTTTTTTGACAGGGAAAGTCTTCCTGCTCAAACTGGCCCCCTGGCCCCCGGGTTACAACAACCGCTTGAGACTCCCTTACAATTTAGGCAGGACCCCCGCTCCCGCCCAAGACTTCCTCGCATTTTATTGAGGAATCGCGCTCTCGCTTGGGACTTTCTTGCAATTTATTTAGGAATCGCTCTCCCGGAGCTCTGGAGTCGCGCTCTCGCTGGAGACTTACTTGCAACTTACTGAAGAATAAATAGCCTTGCGTTGGAATTTCCTGCAATTTGCCCAAGCGCCGCGCTCCCGACACCCAGGCACCCATGAGTCGCGCCCGTTGTGGCCCCATGTGCATGCCCTTCGTGGCCCCGCTGTCGCCATTTGTGTCCCCCTCATTGTCCTACGTGGCCCAGTTGCTACCCTCAGTGGCCCCATAGTTGCCTTCTGTGGCCCCGCATTATATGCACTTCGTGGCCCCCGCTCGTTCGCACTCTTCGTGGCCCCATACGCATTCCCTTCGTGTCCCCGCTGTCGCCCTTCGTGGCCTACTTCGTGCCCTTCGTGGCCCTGCTGTCGTTCTCTCTCGCTCTCGCTTTCGCTCGTCGTCGCCGTCGTCTTCGACGTCGTCGTCGTCGTCGTCGTCGTCGCGTGGTCGGTCCCCTGTCCGTCCCTCTTGGGGTCGGGTCGACGGTCCGCGGCCGCCCCGCCGATCAGAGCTGCCGCTGGCCAGGCCGACGGTCCGCGGCCGCCCCGCCGCTTGCCAGGGCTCGGCCTGCAGGGAAGAAAGGTATACCCCCCAAAAGGGGTTCGATCGAAGACGAAGAGGGCGGGTATCGAGGGTTTGCGCAATACGCGTTATTCACTCCAGCATATAAGGGCGAACAGTCTTAAAATGAGTGTTGTTGTTGCTGTTGCTGTTGCTGTTGTTGTAATTGTTGTTGTTGTTGTCGTCGTCGTCGTCGTCGTCGTCGTCGTCGTCGTCGTCGTTGTTGTTGTTGTTGGTGGTGTTGTCGTGTTTGTTGTTGCGCGACCCGGCCCGCGACCCACCCAGGAACCACCCGCGACCCACCCGCGACCCACCCGCGACCCACCCCGCGACCCACCCGCGACCCACCCGCGACCAACTCCGCGACACACTTGCGACCCACCCGCGACCTGGCCCGCGACCCACCCCGCGACCTTCCCGCGACCGGGCCCGCGACTCACCCGCGACCCACCCGCGACCTAGCCACCTCTGACGAAAAAATGCACCTCAGAAAACCCCAATCAGTGGATGATTTGAAGATTGATATTATGGATCTTGAGATCGATTGTGAGATCGATCATGAGATCGATAGTGGAATCGATAGTGCGGACGATTGTAAGGTCGATTGTGAGACCGAGAGTAAAGTCGATTCAATGAGATCGATAGTGAGATCGATCGCGAGATCGTTCATGCGATCTCTAGTTAGATCGCTTGTGAGATTGATAGGAGATCGATTGTGAGATCGATGGTGAGATCGATCGAAAAGTCGGTAATGAGATCGATGGTGAGACCGATCGATAAGAAGATCGACCAGGAACCCGGGAACCCGGGAACCTCGCCGCCCTCCTAAATCGGCCCAGAACCCGGAACCGGGAACCCGGGAACCGGGAACCCAGGAACCCAGGAACCCGGGAACCCAGCGTGCGACCAAAATCGGCGGGGCACTTTCGCCAAATCCTTCAACATCCGCGAGGACCCCTTCAGTGCAAGCACTGATTGGGGAATTGCGCTTGCGGTGGGTTCGTTGTATAGTTTGTGAAGGTTCAGCGCCTGTGAGGTGGACTTCTTCAGAGCCTCGCAGACTGCCGACGTCCCCGCCGCCTCCTCACTCTTATCCGCAACTGCGGGGTGCTACGTAAAGACACCTCGCTGAACAAAAAGGCAAACGTTTGTCTTGGCGGAGAACCCAGCCATATGCAGCCACGAGTACCGCAAGGCGGCGGACGGAACAGGAGGGCATCAGTGTTTATGGAGACCTGGTGCTGAAGCGCACGGGAGGCACTCATGCAGATGCCGAATGGGAGCAGAGGTTGGATGAGCAGCAGCAGCAGCAGCAGCAGCAGCAGCAGCAGAAGCGAGATCCGGGGGGGGGGAGGTGGACGCACGCGGGCGAGAGTCGAGGGGAAGAAGCAGGAACGAACGGCAAGGGAAGATAACGTTGTTTGGCAACTTGTGTGTGTGTGGGGGGGCGTACCGCATGCGGTCGCTGCCATTGGGGCCTTCGGTGGAGTGGTTTATGGGGCCACGATTCGTGTGAGTGGCGTGCGAAATTGTGAGCGGGGGGCGCAGGCCTTCGGTACAGCCCCATAAGGGGCCGCGAAGCGTATGAGGGGTTTGCTAAACTGTGTGTAGGGGGGTACTGCACGCCGCCGCTGCCATCGGCGCCTTCGGTGGAGCTTCCTATGAGGTCGCGAGGCGTCTGAGGGTTGTGCAAAGTTGAAGTGGGCGCATGCGGCCGCTGCCACCGATGCCTTCGGTGGCGCCATCCACCGGGCCGCAAAGTACGCGCGAGGTGTGTGCGCAACTGTGGGAGGTACCGCATGCGGTCGCTGCCACTGGGGCCTGCGGTGCAGCTCCCCAGGAGGCCAAGAAGCGTCTGAGGGGTGTGGGGGTACCACATGCTGCCACTGCAACTGGGCCACTGGGGCCTTCGGTGGAGCCCTTCATGGGCCAGCGAAACGTGTGAGGGCTCTGCGAAATTGTGGGGGGGACCGCGTGCGGTCGCTACCACTGGGGCTTTCGGTGGAGCCCCTTCTGGGGCCTCGAATCATGCGAAGGGTGTGCTAAACTGAAGGGGGGTTACCGCATGCGGCCGCTGTCGTTGGGGCCTTCGCTGGAGTTCCCCATGAGTCATCGAAACGTGTGAGGGGTGTGCGAAATGACTGGAGCGGGGCTACCGCATGTGGTCGCTGCCACTGTTGCCTTCGGTGGAGCCCCGTATGGGGCAACAGAACGTTTGAGGGGTGTGCGACATTATGGGGGGTATCGTATGTGGTTGTTGCCACTGGGGTCTCCTGTGGAGCCCCGTATGGGGCAGCGAACGCGTGAGGGATGTGCGAACGTGCTGGGGGTACCGCAGGTGGTCGCTGCCGCTGGGGCCTTCGGTAGAGCCCCATGTGGGGCCGCGAACAGTGCGAAGGGTGTGCGAAACTGGTCCCCTCGGCCATGGGGCGGGGGGAACGTCGGCATGAGGCGAGCGATGCTGGTGCGAGCGAGGAGCGCCGGAGGAGGGAGGTGCTCCTGCCACGGCGGGCCGCCTGCGCGCCTGGGTGTTCTTTCCAGGGGCCTCTCTTTTGGGCGCTCCGCGGCAGTCTCCGGGGCCATCTGTGGGGGGAGGGCCCTGCCACTCGGCTGCATGGGGCCGCTACCACTCGGGCCTCCTGTGTCGCTCCCCCTCGAGCCGCGCACGGCCTAAGCCACGGGAGCCTTCGACGGAGCTCCCCATGTGGGTGTGGTGGTTACGATCAGGATGAGGATTGCGATGAGAATGGTGCTGATAAAAAGGAGTGGGAGGGGAAAGAGGAGAAGAAGACGCGGGACGCTATTCATATTCCAGAAGCGAGGACCCATCTTCACAGGATGGTCGGGGAAAGCGCACCGAGCGTGCTGAGTGATTATCCCGCCGACCGGCCTTCCTGGAATGTCCAGGACAGTGTATACTGCCGCGGCACTGGAGGACAATGGCGCGTTGTGAGCGGTGCAGCTTGCCCTCGTGCTCTTCTGCCAGCACCGAGGGCTGCCGCTCCGCAGCTTATGCTAGAGGGTGGGTGGGCCCCCCCTCCCGTAGGAGGAGCACTCCAGTCTGTCCTCTGTCCTGTCAGTTTATCCCTCGTCGGTTCTTCTCTTTTTCCAGCGAGAAGACAGTTCCGCCATCTGACAGCACCGCGCGCGTGGCTGCATCAGCACCTAGGAGTCCAACCTGCGAAGGCAGAGTTGGTGAGGACTTCGCGCGCGCCCGTAGTCACACAGAGAAGTAAACCATCACGATCATCTCACCTGTTCCGATCCCAAGCTGAAGCGCCTGATCCCTGAAAGTCAACAATCTTGCACCAACATGATACAAGCAACCGGCAGCAGTGACGCGAGTGTCTGGGTGTTCTGGGATGCGGGAAGCAGTTTTTCAGGTAGTGCACCTCGTCATTGCCCTTGAACTTTGCCTAGTTGAGGCAAGCTTGCATCGACCTTGCAGCGTAGCCGATCATAGTGTTCTTTCTCCTAGCTTGCTGGCACTGCCCACATATACATCGCAGCATCCCCCGACACGGAGCACGCCAAAAGTTCGACGTGAAGCAGCACCTTGAGCAAGCATGGATTATTGTATCCCCATGGGAGTGCATGTGGTTATCTGCCTCATCTCTGACGCTGTAGAAGGACTTGCCTCAACTGTTTTGCCAGAGCTTCGAGATCACCAACCAGCACACCAGCTTTTGCGTGGAACGCGATAGCACTTCTGACCGTCGAAATCTCGCGGCTGACGACCGCATGCCATCAGCTCCTGCAGGAGAGAGTGCTGGGACATGCCGCGTGGGACGTGCTCGCGATTCTGATCCAGGTGCCGCTGTCGCAGGGGGAACTTGCTCATCCTCGGCCGCCTGGTGGCCACAGGTTTCGAGGGCCCAGTAACTATCAGTATCCTGGGCCTTCCTTCCACCAGCCACGAGTTGAAGCCGAGCAGAGGCAGAAGCATACGATGTTCATCGGGTGGGCCAGCCCGACACGCCCTCACGCCTCCTCCATCGGAGAACGCGTTCCGTCAAAGACGCCGCGGCCATCCCCACACTGCAAGAAGGACCCCAGCCTGGGACGCTCTCGCAGCCCTTCTTGCGCAGCTGCAGTCAAGACGCTGACCTACAGTAGAAACCAATGCCAAGAAACACCCTGCTTGCCTCCAGGGTGCCGTGAGTTTCTTGGGTGTTGATGGTTTCGCTATGGAAAGCGTGACGGTTCCACACCAGAAATCCACGGACGTCCTGGGGTCTCAGGGTTGGGTCTCTCGTGGAAGGTTTCTTATGGTCGAGCTAAGATTGTGGGCGTTGGTTAGTGAATGTGCCCAGGAAGCTTAAGGCCCTGAAGGATTCCTTGTCTGATGAGGGCGGCGGTGATACCCATGGCGAACCCACGGTTAGGGTTCAACCGGCTTCCAGATTCCGGGTTACTTATCTAATGGTTCCTTATCCAATAACTTCACCGTATTCATAGCTCCCCTCGAAAGTGTTGACGCTCCCGCCCTCTGCGCGGCCCACGCAGTTTCCTCCTCGCCAACGCCGTCGGAAAAGCGGGGCATCGCGCGCGAACGCCTCCCGTTTTTACGATATGCGAGGTAGGGGGCGCGCTCTCAAGTCCCGAAGGCGAGGCGTGCCAGCATCGATTCGGATGCTCTTGTAGGGGGGGGAGGCGGGGGACGAGACGGGGCGAAGAGGAGGAGGAGGAGGAGGAGGAGGAGGAGGAGGAGGAGGAGGAGCCCCTGACTCGCTCGGCCTGGCCGCCTTGACTCAGCGCTCCTTCCGATAGCACGAGGGCTGCAGACCGAGAAGCTCTTGCAAGGGGGCCCCGCCGAGGGCCCGCACGTCTTGGGCGGCCTGGGCAGGGCTTCGGCGCGCGAGAGCCCTGGGCCAGGGCGGGGGTGGGTACAGTCAGGACGCTCCTCCTCCTCCCCCTCCTCCTCCTCCTCCTCCTCCTCCTCCTCCTCGTCCTCCTCCTCCTTCTCCGTCTTCTCTTCTCCCTCCCCCCCCCCCCACCCTGGCCACGACCACGACCTGGCTGTCCAGGAACCACCCAGGAACCTCCTCCCCCCCGGCCCGTGTTCGGAACGGGCTCGGTGTTCCCTAGGTCCTCCGATGGTTGCTCCTCGCGCGCTCCTCGTGCCTCCAGGCGCCTCTGGGCCCGAGACGGGGCCCTTCGCTCCTCGTCCGGCGCTCCTCAGCTCAGCGACTGGACTGCAGGGGTTGAGGGCCCGGCGGTGGCGCCGGTGCCTGGGGCGCACAGGGGCCTCGCGACGCCCTCTGCACTGCCAGGGGGCCACGGCGGGACACGTCTGGGCTCGAAGCCGCGGCGGGCCTGCGCGCCGGCGAGCTGCGCCGGCACGGGTGGCGCGGGAGAGGAGAGGAGCGGCGCGAGGCGGCGTGGCGCTCCGGAGGAGGTCGGCGCCGGGGGCGGGCTTCTGTCTCGGAGGTGGACAGAACCCCCAACAGTGACACGTCGATTAGTGAATTGTCCGTTTTCGGTTCTAGAGAGGGCGCCGTGGCCGTTATTTTCCAGGCTTGCGCCCGCCAGGTTGGGCCTCAGGTCGTTTTCACTAAACCACGTTTTACTGAAGGGGGGTCTGTCCATCCCTGACTGTCGGAGCATGCTGGTGCACGGCACTCGGGCCGAACGAAAGGGGGGGATAGGGAAAGGGGGGGTTACGAAATCTGTAGCTGGTTTCCGCCCCGCCGCCGGGCCCATTCCTCGGTACATGGGCGCCTCCCGGCGCCGGGAGGCGCTGGGAAAATCGGCTACGTGAGCTGATTCTCAAACCCCCCCTTTGCTATCCCCCCCGTTCGCCCGACCCGAGACACGGGTCGCGAACTGTGGTTTGGCGTGTCGCGACGCCGTTTCTTGCACAGTTGCAGTCAACCCGCGTGGCAAGGATGGGCAACCTTCCCGAGGGTGCCCTTGCATCCTTGCCTCATCGGCCCATCCTTAGCGACTTTCGCTGGCCGACGGTCGGGTTCAGGAGGCCCCCGAGACGGCCCAAGAGCAGCTGCAAGAGGGCCCGCAAGAGCCACGAATTATGGATTTGGTTTTTTGCATTGGTTCTTGCGCTCTTGATTTTTCGGGCTTCTCATTTTCTAAGACAAGACCAAGAGCCGCCCACTAATCTCGCAAGACGGCTCAAGAGAACCCCGACAGGCCCCCCAATCCGGCCCAAGAGCGCTCCAGGAGAGCCCCAAGAGGGGCCCAAGATGAGAAGCCCGAAGTCACGGAGCGAGGCCGCTCCCCGAAGGCGGCCCCCGAGTCCGCCGGCAGGGCCCGAAGAGGCCTCCAAGAGGCTCTAGCAGCGCCCGGGGGCTCCCCAAACATATCCCCCACAAACATATCTCCATACGCTCATGCTCCTTCACAGTACACTGATATATGTGTATATATATACACATGTGTATATATTTATGCATAAAGAAATGAAGAAAGAGAGAGAGAGAGAGCGAAATGGAGAGAGAGAGAGAGAGAGACTACACAGACGCGAGAGACAGAGTAAGAGCACAGACAACAGATATGGATAGAGAGGTGAGCACAAGCGCCCGGGCCTGACAGAGGGCACGCTCTTGCAAGCGCAGTCGCCGACCGTCGTCTCCCAGCTCATGCGAGTCATCGCTGTGCTTCCTGCGCAGGTCGCGCAAGGGCCGCCTCCCGGGGGCCTGCCCCCAACAGCTCCAGGGGGCTGGCGCTCGCGGGTCAACGGTCTTGCTCCTGGTGCCTCGAGGCCAGGGCGGGCGATCGGCCTGCGAGGGGTGTGGGGCCGAGGCCCTCGACTGGACCGACGAGGACCGCGCCGACGTGGCGTTCCTCTCGCAGGTGCAGGGGTGCTGTGCGCGGCTGGTGGAGGAGACCCGCCCTCGCAGAGAACCCGCCCGCGCTGGCTCCCGCATGCGCCCCGCGGCCGAGAGCCGTGGGGAAAGGGCGGGGTAGATGGGCGGAGCGAGGGAGGGAGCGAGGAGGAGGAGGAGGGCAGGAGGAGGGGGATTATGATGATGATGAGGAGGAGGAGGAGGAGGATGATGATGATGAGGAGGAGGAGGAGGAGAAGGAGGAGGGGGAGGAGGAGGAGGAGGAGGATGAAGGGACGAGGGATTATCCTCCTCCTCCTCTCCTCCTCCTCCTCCGCCTCCTCCTCCTCCCCCCCCCCTTCCTCCCCCCCTCCTCCTCCTCCTCCTCCTCCTCCTCCTCCTCCTCCTCCTCCTCCTCCTCCTTGGATGGAGTAAATGGGCGGAGCGAGGCAGGGAGGAGGATCATCGATCATCTAGGCCTCCTTGATGGGGTCGGAGTTGACGGGGTCGGAGGAACGCGCCGCATCGCCGATGCATCGCCGATGCGGTTCGATGTGGGGGCCGTTTTCCTCCACGCCGACGTCGCCGATGCGTCGCCGACGTCGACGTTGCATCGCTGGTGCATCGCCGATGCATCGGCGATACGTCGCCGATGTATCGGCGATGCGGCGCGATCCTCCGACCCCATCTACTCCGACCCCATCCAGGAGGCTTCCAGATCAGTGATCTTGACTCGAACTCGCCATCAGGAGGGACGACATCAACCGCATCCCCCATGAGCTTGGGATGCAGCCCTCGCCGGATTCCATTTACGGAAGGGCGTCCACATCGTCTGTGTTTGTTGGCACAATACGATGTTTCATGGCCTTGCTCGCCGTTTTCAGCAAACCAAGGTCATATTAGACGTCTTGGCCCCCAGCCCTCGCACTCTCACCCCCCCGCTGAATCCCTCAACTGCACCATCTGCTCTCCCTCTTCTCCGCTCGTCCCTCTTCATCCTTCTGCTCTCCCCCCCTTTCTCCCCCCCTCCACTACCCGACCAACCTCGTCCCCGTTCCCAAGCCCTCGCCTTCCTCATCTCCTGTTCTCTCGTTTCTCATCACCCTCCCTACAGTCGGCCCGGGTCAGTAGGTCGACCCTGCCAAATCAAGGATACCCCTGTTTCCTGTGTCTCGCGACCCGTGACTCCTGCGTTGAAGTCGGCGTGTCCCTCTACAGGGAATATCCAAAAACAGTCAGAAAATAGTTCGGGGACGACTTCTCTATTGTTTGTTTGACAATGTTTGAGTACGTGCTAAAACTATTTTGAATATGTTGCCCCGCCTGGAAGGGGACATGCCCGACTTGCGTCCCGACGGCAGGTGTGGTCCTCGCAGGGGCCTCGTGCCCCCTCGCGCGCCCTGCCCCGCCAGCCTCTCCGCCGCCCCCTCCCCCCCCCCGCACCGCCTCCCCCCCCAAGGAGCCTCGCGCCCTCACCCCCCGTGCGCCACACCTCTGCCCCCCTCCCCCCGTCGGCGGCCCCCCCCCGTCCCCGCGGGCCCCCCCCCCCGCAGCTCCCTCCCGGGCCACCCATCGACGAGCGCGTTCCACGACTCGCAGAGTGACTGCTTGCAAGTGGCCTGGATCCCCCGCCAGGAGTCTGCGACGCATCACGCCAGAGCAGACAAGGTGTTGTTTCGGACGTCTGCGAGCAGGCACTTTGCGCGGAGTGGACCGCACTCGGCGAACCCAGCCACCCTCGCCCTGGCACCGGGGCGCCGCCAGGCGCGCAGAGCGCGCGAAGCGCTGTCTTCTGCCGAGATCCGCGCTGCCGCGCTGATCTCAGGTTGCTGCTGCGAAGCGGCCGCGGGTGAGATGCCGGTGGCTCCCCCCGCGGGTTTTCCGGATGAGCATGGTTGTTCCGAGAGTGACCCACCCTTTTGCCTTCCTCATCTCGTGCTCTCTCGCCTCCCCTCGTTACGTTGCATCTTCGGGGGACCTCGCCTGTCCCCCAAGTTGGTGTCTTTTCTTGTGCCCTACGCGGGCTCGATGCGGACTCGACGCAGATTTGGCATTCGACGCGGATTCGACACGGATTCGATACGGATCCGACGAGGCCGACATGGGTTCGACACGGATTCGACGCAGATAGGGCCGCGACGGGACAGACAAGGTCCCCCGATGATACAGCACAACATCAGCACAAACTTTTGGCGCTCCGCGCGGATTTCGTGGATCTGCGCTGAGCGCCCCCTGGGCGGCGCTTCCTGGCGCCACCCCTGGCGCGCTGCGCGCGCCAGCGAGGGGGGCCTGGCGCGGATCCGGGAGTGCACCCTGCGAGGAGGAGGAGGAGGAGGAGGAGGAGGAGGAGGAGGCGCAGTGGGGAGGAGGGGGGGGGAGAAGAGAACGCCCAGGGCCAGGATCGGCGAGGTGGTCAGTTGACGCCGCCCGAAGATCAAGAGCCCCCCCCCCCGCTCTGGTCCAGGAGGGCGCCCGTGCGCTGCGCACGCTGCTGGAGGGCACCGACGGACTCGTCAAGTGGGAGGCGCTCGGGAAGAGCATCGTGAAGGATCCACCGAGCCAGGGACCCAGACCCCCTCGGGTCATGAACAGAATCACGACGGGAGGATTTTCGCTATTTTCGGCCTCTGGGGGCCCCTACCGGGCCCCGGGACCCACAGAAAACGACTCAGGATGAAAAACCGGTCCCGGGGAATGGGTCTGGAGCTCTGGAGGTCGCGTCATGAGAAATCGAGACGTCGGTGGTCTGGGGACGGGGGGAGGGATCAGTTGAGCGGAAGATCGGGACAAATCGGAACCAGAGATTCTGGGAGAGTTCCAGAGAAAAATAAAACGCCGATTTGTGGAGCGTAGCGCGCGCATTCGCAGAAGTTCCCAAAGAGTGTTCGAGGGCTTGAGGAGCCCAAGTAACACATGGGCGCTCAATTAAACTGTTGGGGGCGGGCAGGAAATCTGGTGTGCACGAGCATCGTGGGCGGGTGCGCGGCTTGCACGGGGGGCGCAGTAGGTTTGCGTTTCAGGGACTTGGGCGCTGGCCAATGCGCTGATGGGGGCCCGAGAATGCGTCGCACATATTACGCCTGTGGCGCCATGGAGGCCGCATTTGCGGTTGCAGCTCTCTTGGGCGCCCGCCCGCCGCCGTGGACGTAGTGGGCCCAGCTAGTCTCTCGGTCGGCGCGCGGCGGGTCGGCAGCCACGACGCTGGCGGCCTGAAAATGCTTCGAAAGTGTTTCTCCCCGAGCCGGGGGCTATTGTACGTTTTCGGTGGCACGCGCAGTTCGGAGAAAAATTGCCTTGTCCGTCGGCGGCCAGTTGGCTGTCGTCGCGCAGAACTACCGGCGGATGGCGCGGTCCACGCTCAGCGCAGAGAGCGTGTCCATGAGCGTGGACTCGTCGAGGGGCAGGAGGAAGGACCTCGCGGTCGGGACCATCGCGGCCCGCGATGTCCACGGCCCCCACCCTGGGCGCGCGAGGACCTGCTGGGCGCCGCCGCAGCGCGATTTCAGAGGATCTCGGAACCAGAAATCCGGGCGCGCCAAATTTCGCGGGCCGAAAAACTCTCAGAGAGTTTCGGCCAGCTCCGAGGTTTTGGGTTTATGGGAATGTTTCACGCGGGGTGGCTAGTTCAGAGATTTTCAGAGATTCTCAGAGAAGTTCGGACGCGAGAATTTGGCGCGCCCCGGTTTCTGGTTCTGCGAACCTCTGAACAGCGGTTCCCTAGGTTTTACCGGGTCTCCAGGCGTCCTACTGTCAGCCAGAGACGAGCGACTGGCTGGCGCCGCGCCCGATGCTTCCGGAGTTGCGAACTCGGTCTTCGATTCCCTTGGGCCGCCGGGCCCCTGGGCCAATTGCGAGGTTGCCGAGGCCCCCAGGCGGTTGCGCGCGATTGTCTCGGAAACCGGAGTTGGGCATCCATGGTGGACGCCCGCGCGCACGCGCTAGGCGTCCGCGAGATTGTTCAGTGGCGGATATTGCATGGAGCGGGGAATTCCAAAGACTTTCCGGGGTGTTCTCTACGGTTATTTCGGCGCGCTTCGGGAACCTTGGGGCGGCGCGGGGAAGTCGCCTGGCCGCGCGCGTGACTTTTTTCCAATGCCGTCTTGGGCATTATCGCGGCGTTGCTTGGCCGAAGAGGTCACTGAGTAACGCGATTTTTGACATTTTCGTGTTTTTGTCGTTGCGTTGGTTGCGTGATTGTTTTGGCGGTCCGCCTCCTTGGGGCCCCCTTTGGGCCTCAAATTTGTTTTGTTGACGTCGGGCCTTCTGGAGTGAAAGGCGTTTGGCGCTGAATTCCCTCGGTCGCGCGCGTAGCCGAATACGCGCCGTGGCTTCATCCGCGCCGGGGCGCTTTTCTTCCCTCGCGAAGCCGATGGCGCCCAAGGCGTGGCAGGCCCGTTCGGCGGCGCCCCCGGTGATTTGAAAAACCGAACATGATTTTTATCCCCGTCAAATTTTGCCCCGATCCCGGCTTCATCTTAAGGGAGGACGGAAAGGGCTGGGGAGGAGGAGGAGGAGGAGGAGGAGGAGTAGGAGGAGGAGGAGCATGGAGGATATTGAGAGAGGGGGGGGAAGGAGAGAGGAACGCATCGGCTCCAAGAGGTGAAGGCCTGGCGGCCGGTGCCGCTGACCCTGAAGTGAGGACCGGAGGCGTGTGGTAGGCAAGGAATCGAAGGGGAAAACTTCTCCCAGGAAGGGTTCCCCCACAGGGAGGAGGGGGTTCACAACCCCGGGAAACACCACGCTACCCTCCCCCCAAACCCTCCCCCTCGGACCCCCCCCCTACCCCCCCCTGGGACCACCCACACACCCGGCGGCGAAGGGATCACAGGGAGGGGCTTCATTTCGATTCCATGACGATTTTGCGTGATTTCTCTTCGGCTGGGACGTTTGACGAGGAGGGCCACGAACAGCGACGGAGACAACGAGGATGACGACGACGAGGACGACTCAGACGGGCAAGCCTCTCACACACGCCGACAGGGCTGGCGGGTTTAACAACACCCGATTTTGATTTTTCTCCTCTCGGGATCCCTGCAACACCGATGTCGAGATTTCGATGCTCTCCGTTCCCACATCAGTGCGGCACTGCAATCGAGATTTGAGGTGCTGTCTTCTCGCCTTCCTTGTCGTCTCTGTCCTCATCTCCTCATCTATAAATTGCGAAGGCCTTACGGCCGGTGCTGCCGACCCTGAAGGGGGACGAGGACGACGGCGGCGGCGGCGACGTCGACGACGACGACGCTAACGCTTTGGAGGCCTGTCAGGAAGGGGGGGGGTGCTTAATTCCCCCCTGTCCACAGGGGGAGACCCCCCCTGGGAGCCCCTGAGTGGGGGGACACCCCCCAGGAGCTCTCGGGGGGGCGGTTTGTATTCTGACCAAGGACCCCCCCCCTCCCCAGACAGAGAAGGGATCAAAGGGACGGGGTTTCCTTCGACTTAACTACGACGTTTCTCAATTGCCTTGGTGTTTCCTTGAGGCTGGCGGTTGCAGACGACGACGACGACGACGACGACGACGACGACGACGACGACGACGACGACGACGACGACGACGACAGAGGCTTCCACACGCCGTCTTCTCGCCTTCCTCGTTGCCTCTTCCCTTACCTCCCCTCCTGCATGCCCCTCCGCGCCCCCGGGTGGCTCCTCCCCTCTCCCCTCGCCTCCGCGCTCCAGCTTCCTCGCGCCTCTCCCCCCCTCCTCCTCCTGCTCGCCCTCCCTCCCCCCCCCCTACCCCCGGAGCAGAGAGGGGACGGCGGCGCCCTCTCCCCCCCGCGCGCCCCTCCAGGAGATCGCTGCCGCGGAGCAGGCCCTCAGGCGAGCCGAGGAGGGGGCGCGGGCGGGCACGGGGCTCCTGCCCCTTGGCGGGGGCTCGTCCGCCACCGCCTGGTGGATCGATCGTCGGTCGGGGAAGCTCCCTCCTCCCTCCTCCCTCCTCCCTCCCTCCCTCCTCCCTCCCTCCTCCCTCCCTCCTCCCTCCTCCCTCCTCCCTCCCTCCTCCTCTTCCTCCTCCTCCTCGTTCCTTCCTGCTCCTTCCTCCTCCTTCCCTCCTACTCTCCTCCTCCCTCCTCGCTCCTCCCTCCCTCCTCGCTCCTCCTCCTCCTCCTCCTCCTTCCTCCTTCCTCCTTCCTCCTTCCTCCTCCTTCGCGTAGGACTCGAGTAAGCCCGACCTCGGGTTTGCCGACATGTATTCTGGCGAGCGCGTCCTGGGTTTTGACGGCCCAGTCTTCGTGGGGCGGCTGCAGCGGGAGTTCGCGTCAGATTTCAGACTGGGTCTCGTCGTTTTCATGGTGGCCCCGTCGGGCCAACCCGAGTCCTCCGTGCCCGAGTCTTACGTCTCCCCGATTCGGGGACCTCGGCAGGCGGCGGATACGGATAGCTTCATGCCCTGGGTCTGGTAAGCTTCAACTATACATGTCCATTGCCTGGCCCAGGTCACCAGAGGTCGATCCCCCAAGCAGTGGTGACGGATACAGTCGACCCGCATGGCAAGGGTGGGCAATTTTCCCAAGGTTGCCCTTGCATTCTTGCTTCCTCGGCCCATCCATGGCGACTTTCGCTGGCCAGCCTCGTTCGGAAAGCGTTCACATGGCATTCCAAGGCCCTTGTGGAGGACGATCAATGGAGAGGAAAAATGCTGCCAACGAATTCCCAGATGTCTAAAACATGTTTCCACCATGTTTTCAAGCATTAAAAAAACAGGAGTCCAACATTTCCAGTACATTTCCCTACAATGTGAACACATGTTAGTTCGATGATAGGACTGTTAGGGTGTCCATTGTCGTGGCATCCGCAACTCTATGAGACGGGTGATCTGTATTCATGCCCTGGGTTTGGTACACCAATCTGTCTATGACCACCACCTGCCCAGCTCACCGAAGAGCGATCCCTCGAGCAGTGGTGATGGATACATCCCCGCCTCGCACGAAGGCGAAGGAAGCCGCGCCCGCCTCGCCGCGGGGCGCTCGTCTGAGTTGTCGTGTCCTGGATCCGCGAGGGTGCTCTGCCGCCTCGCGGTAACTCCCGAGCGGATCTCAGCGGAGGACAAGGTGCCGATACCGCTACCCCTGCCCTGGTTTTACGTTCGGGAGGGCTCCTGGAAGGCCCTCGTCGCCACTGCAGGGTTCGCCTCGAGCATTCGATCAGAACGCCCCCCGGGAGAGATCTGGGGGGTTGTGGTATCGGGATCTTTTGGGATCTTTTGGTCTCCCGAGGTTCCAGGTGTCTTCCGAGGCGTTAAGTGTTTTCTGCTGTTGTCTGCGATTTCGTCAGGGGCTCGGCAGTGTTCACATACCCTTGGATTGTGGACGACCTTCAATGGAGAGGAAGCATGTTGCCAAATGGCTAAACATGTGTTAAGCATGTCTTAAACATGCAACACGCACATGTTTGAAACATGTGTCACGCAGCTTTAAACCATTCGATGCACATGGTAAAACCCAATGCTAAGATTCGTAGAGTGTCCATTACCACGGCATCCACAATCCTTGGGTGCTTGTGTTGTCGGCTCGTTTTTTTGTTTCTGAACGGGCCTCTCCCCCCTCTCATTGGCAACAGGGTCCTCTACAGGACGAATATTCAAGCACAGTCCAAAACGGTTTTTTGACTAAGTTTGACCATTTGGGGTTATGCTTTAAACTGTGTCTAATTTCTCTTCCAAATCCGCCTGTAGGAGCACATGCCCGACCTAACCCCGCAACCCGCGCCCCTGGGGTCATCCAGGATTTCTAAGAGTTCCTCGGTTGATTCGTTGCGTACTTACGAAGCGCTATTGGTCTGCATGGGTTTGCAGTGCTTTCGTTTGCCTTGCACCTCGCTGATCTGGAATGATGTGCGCTATGCCTTCCCTGGAACTGCGCTGCGTTGCCTCACCTTGAGTTGTCCTACGCCGACTTACATTGTGCTGGGTTTCTCTGCGTTGAGTCGATCATTTGCGTTGCTTCGCATTTTTTTGCATTGCACCGTCTGGCTTGCATTATCGAATGTTGTGTAGCCGTACCTCGTTGTATTGCCTGCCCATGTTAGGCTAGGGACCATGTTTAGGCTCATGTTCCCTTTCCCCCTGTTTCAGCAAGTGTTTGGAAGAGAGGAAGAGACAGAGGATGATGATGATGATGATGATGATGATGATGAGGAGGAGGAGGAGGAGGAGGAGAGACGGATGGAGAGAGCGAGGAGGAGGAGGAGGAGGAGGCGGCGCAGGAACATAATCGAGGAGCAGGAACAGCAGGGTCAGCTCGAGCAGGCGCAGGAGGTGGGAGCAGGAGCGGCTGCAGGCGCAGCAGCAGCAGCAGCAGCAGCATGAGCACGGGCAGGTCGCACGGTCGCCGCAGGTCGCCGTGGTTCGGGTTGCGCACGGTCGCCGCTGCGCGATTGGCGGCAGCGGATGCCGTCCTTCTGGGGCGAACCATTGCAGTGCTCGTCTCCTCCGCGACGGCACCGGCGTCTCAATAGTCAAAGAAGGAAAAGGTACGCATGCCTCTACCCCCTCGTCCAGTTTCTCCTTTTTGGGCCTCCCGGGAGGCCCTCGTCGCCACCGCTGGATTCGCCTCGAAGTCCGGGTCAGAACGCAACCCGGCAGAGGTCCGGGGAGTAGCGGTATCGGCACCTCGTGGTCTCCCCCAATGGCGGATCGCCGGGGCGCCTCTGCCTGCACAGGTGCTCACCTCGAGGCTCGCTCGCACAGCCGAGTCCGAGGCACGAGCAGGAGCAGGAGGCGCGAGGGTGAGCACCAGAGGAGCGGCAGGGGGGAGGCTGGACATGTGCCCCGGCGCTCTCGGCCCCTTCCCCGGGACGGAGGCCGCCCTGCCCCCACCCACCCCTCTGCCTGCGTTGTGTGTTACCTCTGCGTCCTCCTCTGTCCTCCGTTGTCTTGCCTCCCCCACCCCTTGGCCTGCCACAGTGATCCCACTGTACCGCACTGCCCTGAGAGGAGCAGAAGCATTCGCCCCGCCCCCACCCCACCCCACCCCTTGAACTGCCACAGCGATCCCACTGCACCACACTGCCCTGAGGGGAGCAGCAACATTCGACCCCCCTCCCCCCCAAACACAAAAGCTTCCATGATTCACCCTGGGGGCGTCCTCTGAGGGCCCCAGGGCCTGGGCGCAGCCCTTGGAGTTTAAGTCGGGCGTGTCCCTCCACAGGGGAGATGTTCCAAAGTAGTCCAAACAAAAATAGTCTGGGGTCGATGTTGTTGAGCATCTTCGGTTTGTTTCTCAATATGTTCGGACTCTTTCAAATTCTTCGTCCAAAACCCGCCGTGACCTAACCCTGGAAGCCATAACGCACGAGGAGGAGCACCGGCACGCACGGAGAGAAGCGCACGACGCCCTGGGAGACGAGCGCCGCGGGGGGCCGCCAATCCCCTTCGATCCCCGAGCGCGCTCCCGCACTCCTCGCAGAGCGCCTGCTCGCCAGCGCCAGCCAGAGAGCAAGCGCGGTTCGATGCCATGGAGCTTTTTTTCCGCAGAAGAAGAAGAGAATGAAAAAGAAGAAGCGCCATAAACCTAAACTTTGGCGCTCCGCGCTGATCCGCGCTGGGATCCCTCGGCTGGGCCGCGCTGGGCCCCCCCCGGCGGCGCCTTCGGCGCCGCCCCTGGCGCGCCCCGCCGGCCAGGGATGGGGGGGCCCAGCGCGGATCCTCCAGGAGGAGGAGGAGGGAGGAGGGAGGAGGGCCCAGCCAGGAGGGGAGGAAACCTGTGCGGAGCGCCAGAAGTTTCTGCTTACGGCGCCCTTTTCTTCTTCGACGTCTGCCTCGACGCAGGGAGGTCCCGGCCAGGTGCGCGCAGCCGCTCTGCGCGTCGTGGAGCGCGCGCCTCTGTCTCTTTGAGCTCCTCCTCCTCCTCCTCTTCTTCCTCCTCCACTTCCTCCTCCTCCTCCTCCTCCTCCTCCTCCTCCTCCTCCACTTCCTCCTCCTCCTCCTCCTCCTCCTCCTCCTCCTCCTCCTCCTCCTCCTCCTCCTCCTCCTCCTCCTCCCCCTCCTCTCTGGCCGACCCGGGTCTGGGGGGCCACGCGGGCCGAGCCCCCCTTTGCCCCTCCCTCCGAGGGCCCCGGGTTGGGGGGGGGAGCTCCTGCGTGGCCGGCCGGTGTTCGCGACGTGCCCTCCACATCCGCTGCCCTGGGTTCAGGTCGGGCATGGCCTCCGACAGGCGGGTGTTGGACGAAGCCCAAACACATAGTCGAAGCATGCTCAAAAGCAGTCCAGAACTGGCCGAAGCATCGTCCCCAGACCATTTCCCAACCCTCCTGCGTGTTGGGTCCTCGTTTTGAGTTCGCGGCGCCGCGCATCTCCGTCCTCCTTCTTCCTCCCTATCCTCCCGCCTCTCATGTTCCTCCTCACTCTTCCCTTCTCTTTTCCCTCATCCTCTCTTTCCCATCTCCCATCACAACCACCACCATCATCATCACCTCCGTCTTCATTATCATCATAGTTTCGGCGCGCTCCACACGCTTCTTGGCCCCAGGGCGCTCCACCGAAGGCTCCAGTGGCAGGGTCCGCATTCGTACACGGGTCCATTTGGGCACATCCCTCACACGTTTCGTGGCCCCATAGGGAGCTCCACCGAAGGCTCCAGTGGCAGGGTCCGCATGCGTACTCGGGTCCACTTCGGCGAACACCTCACACGTTTCGTGGTCCACTGGAGGAGGGTCCACTTCGGCGTCCACCGCAGCCTCCAGCGGAGGAGCTCCTGTTCCGCGCCGCATGCATTACTTAACTTCCCGTGTGCGACTTGAGTCGCGCGAGTGCGTGCCGAGCCTGGTCCGACGTTCTTCGGCGATGTTTTCAGGGGCCAATGCGAAAGCCCCACCCAAACGAGCTCTTATGCATCGAGCGGTCCTGGTGATAGTTTCCACGCGCGTAGAAGAAGTTGGGTTCTTCGCCAGGGTCACTTTTTACTTTTGAAATATTCCTCCTGCGGAGGGGCCTGCCCGACTTAACCCTGGGTGCGGGAGCCACTGTGCGGTCGGCCGGGTTCGCCTCGACGCGCGGCCCTCAAGCCAGAGGATGGTGGTGGTGGTGGTGGTGCTGATGACGACGACGATGATGATGAGACTGGCGTGGCGATCGCCATCATCCCCACCATCATCACCTCCTCCGTTCGCCTGCGCCACGTGGAGGAGCGGCAGGGGGAAGCGGCGGCGGCCGCCGCCGAAGCCCCGCCCCCTCTCCCCCCCCCGCTGCAGGAGCTGGGCGCCAAGTGCGAGGCGCTCTGGGCGGAGCACGAGGCGGCGCTGCGACCGCGGCCGCGGTGGCCGCTTCGGCGGCCGCCTCGGCGGCGGCCGCGCTCCCCCCCCGGGCCCAACTTCGCCGCCTCCTCCTCGTGCTCCTCCACCTCCTCATCCTCCTGCTTCTCGTGCTCCTCCTCTTTCTTTTACGCTAGACCAAACTTAGGTAGTACCTGTGGCGTTCTTCTTCCTCCTCCACATCTTCTTCCTCCTCCTTCTCTCCCTCCTCTTCCTGCTCCTCGTCGTCCTCCTCCCCCTCCTCCTCCTCCTTCTCCTCCTTCTCCTGGCACCTGTGCTTCTGGGTGCCCTTCCCAGGTAAACAGGCGGGTCGTAGCCCGATCGTCACCTCGCTCGTGCCTGTCCGAGGGTCGGGGGCAACCACGATGTTCGGCAGGGGCTGGCGGGGACGGGGCTTTTGCTCCTCGTCGCCCCCTGCCCGTCTTGCCCAGGGCCTTGGTCCCCCCGCCAAGGCGTGCGTGCATGTAGACTGGTCCCCGTGGGAGTGGTGCCCCGCGGAGGCTTCGTGGGGCGGCACGCCTGGGTGCGCGTCGTAATCTGAAGGCCCTGGGCGGCAGCACGGTGCAGGCCCAGAGCCTCCGTGCTGCCCCCAGGCGCCCGGCGCCTCGGAATGTCAGAGCGCGCGGCGCGCCGAGGTGCGCGCTGCCCGCTTTTTTAAGGTGCGGCCCTCCGGTGCTTGGGGAGGGCCCCGGCACTGCGCGAGTGGCACGACCAGCAGTCGCGCAGCGCCAGCAGCAAGTGTCGGTGAGATTGAGCTGTGCAAGAAAACCTGTAGGTAACGACTACTGCCCCCCCCCATAGAGGGTTGTCGTTCTTTTTCCCGGGGGAGCTCTGCTACGATCATTCCCAGCGCAGTATTCCTCCTCCTCTTTCTCGACGCCTCGGAGATGCGGTTGTCTTTGGGTCAAGTCTTGGTGCCCTCGCCCCCGCCCCTCCTCTTCCCAGCAGCAGAGCATTGCTGGGGAGGGGGGGGGGCGGGGCTGCGCAAGGATCCCCCCGGCCCTCCAAAGGAAAATGTTGGCAGTTTGCGCGCCGCTTCTTTTCTCGAGAAGCGCGTGCGTCCTCGGCTCAAACGCTGGCGCGCTCGTTGGGGGAGGGAGCAAGTCGCTGGAAGAAGTGCTTGTGTGTTTGGAGCTGGGGTTCGTCATTCTGGTGGGCCGCGCGGGGCAGAAGCGGTTGCGCCCGGGCGCGATTGCGGGAATGGTGGGCCACGTGGGGCGTGTTCGGGGATATTAGGGAGCCCACAAAGGACGTACGCGCCCAGCTATGTACATGAGCGCGGCCCCTCGATTCGCGAGACCCGCCGCGTTATACGAACATTTGTGCAATGCGTGCTCTCGAAACCAGCGTGGATTCATGTACATGTACGTCCTTGTTTCGCTCCTGAGATATGGATTCACACTTGCTTGCTCCGTCGCTTTGCCTCGCCAGGGTTTCCCTGGGGGCGCGCAGGGGCGCGGCGCGTCTCGACGCGCGGGCGTTCACGGGCCCGCGTGGGCCAGGGGCTTCGTGGTCCAGGCATAAGGAGCGCAATAGCGGAAACCTGCATCTGCTTGGTTGTTGCTTTGGGGGGGGGATTGCGCTCAAGGAGGGCTGCATTACCGATTAGCGATGTGCGCCTAACTGAGCCTGCAGGGTGGGCCCTTTTCCAGCTCTCGTTTCGGCGTTCGCAGTCGTGCACTTCGAAGCGCCTCGCGTCCTCCCCCCGGTCTTCCTGGCCCCTTCTCACCGCTGTTGCCCCAGGCACCACTCCGCCTCCGCCTCCCCCTGTCCCTGCTCATCCTCATTTCCATGATACTCCCTCCTCGGTCCCTCTCTTCTTACTCCGCCTCCCCCTCGTGTTCCACAGCAGCATCCGAGTGAGTACGCCTTATCGCCTTCGTCCGCTTGCTTCTGGTCCTTCTTTCCGAAGCCACATTTGTTCAATATTGGCCCTGACTTGCACGCACCTCCTCGGAATTGCTGTCATGCTGGACGGTATGGTTGCTTGTGTCGTTGCGCCTTGCGCTGTGGTCGTGGCGGCTTATGATGCGTCAGAGGAGCGAGCCTGGCGCGTCTGAGGCGCCACATCCCGTAAGAATCGCAGCAGCGGCCAGATCCTTGTGTTCATCATTTGGTCCGTGTGTCTTCGGTGGCTGCGACGCGAGCTTCGTGCAGCGATTCGGATTGGTGCAGCACCGACGAGATCTGCCCGAATCCGCAGTTTGAGGGCGGCTGCAGCTTGAACGGCACCGGTGGAACCACGCCGACCTGGCGCCCCAGCGCAGGCGCCTTTGCGGCATGCACAGGCCCCCTACGCAGGGTCGGTGGTGCCTCAATGGCTGCGACCCGACATCGCGCAGCGACCCGGGCTGGTGCAGCACCGAGGATGCCTTCCTGAAGTCGCAGTCTGGTGGCGGCTGCAACTCGAGTGCCACTGGAGGAGCCACGCCGACCCTATAGTGCCAGAGCAGTCGGCCCCGCCGCAGGCATCGGCCCTGGCTGCTGCATCGGTGCTGCTCCGACGGCTGCGACGCGAACTCGTGCAGCGACCCGGACTGGTGTAGAACCGAGGAGGCCTGCCTGGATGCACCGTAGCTGTGTATGTTCGGGGTATTTTCAATCGTATACAGTGTTGTGCATTTTTGTTGGGTACTCTTAGGGTAAAATGCTGTCCTGAGGCCACTCTGGTGATGGCTGCAACGTGATCGTTTTCTTGTTCATTGTTTTGCCGATCGGCGATACACCCGTCGTGCGGCGAGGGCGGCGGCCCCCTGGCCTGAGAGCGCTGCCGCGGCGAGCGCCTGGCACTCCTCGCTGCAGGCGGGAGCTCCCCTCTTCCGTGCCGCCATGCCCTCGCCACGACGTGGCCCGCACTGCTCGGCGCGCGCGCCGACCGCCTTCATCATCAAACAAAAGACCCAGCGAGGACTTGATGAAGAAACATGGTTTGTCGATCGGCGCGGGCCTTCGCACCCCCCCTGGAGTAAATCTCGGCTGTTGGGGGCGCCTTTTTCGAGAAGGTGGAGTCCGTCCCCCATAGGACGCACTGCCGCAAACAGTCGCACGAAGCAGAGGTCCGGAGCCAGACCCCCTCCCTCCCCCCAGCCTTCCGCCCAGTGTCGAGACGCCAAATACGGCAACGCTCACGTGACGGATGCAGCTCGAACGCCACTGGCTGAGCCAACCCGACCTGGTATTCCCACCGATGGGCACACGCTGCCACCCCGATCGGAGATCCCAGCGGATGGGCACGCGCTGCCGGATCGCATGGCGACGCGGCCTCTCTCGGCTGGTTCAGCTTGGCATTTGCTCGGCGCGACAGTGTGGCGCTGCTGCCGCTACGGCAGTGGCTGAACTGGGCGCAGCGCGGCGACGCACAACGGTTTTGTTGATCGCTGTTCAGTGGTATATCATGTTTGGTACTGGTTTGCATCGTAGAGGTTCTGGCAGAGCAACCCGTCCTGCTTCGCATCTTCTCTTCTAACCCCCCGCTCCTCCTCAACCCCTCTCTCTCCTTCCACTCATCTGTGTCTCCTTCATCATGCGATTACACCCGGCGCCCGCTCTTTGCATATGTATCACAAGTCCAAAGCTGCGGTCGCCGATGACCCATGGGGAACAGCTCACGGACGCACAGCAGAGTGCAGCTTTTGCCGTCGCCTTGCACGCACCTGAGCACTAGGCTCGGATAGCTTGCTGCGCTTCAGCTACGATCGTCCTTAATGTTAAACCTCCGTTCTCATAATTTTGTCATTCCTCCTCCTCCTCCCTCCTCCTCTTCCTCCTCCTCTTCTCCTCTTGTCGATCCGCCTCTGTCTCCCCCATCCTCTGCCTCCTCCCCCTTGTCCCGAACTTCGTGTTTCATCTTCCGCCTCATTCCTCATTCGCATGCCCCCCCCGCTTATTGATACGTTCAATCCGTTCGGTCACCCTGGCCCGCGTCGTTTCCGACGGCATCTATGTGAAGTAGTGCGCAGTAGGAGCAGAACGAAAAGGCACGATATGAACAAGGAAGCGAAGAGCAATACAGACAGTGATCAACGTCCGCCATCGATACATGACTCCCATCGGTTTCTCCTGCGGCTGCTCCTTCTCCTCCTCCTCCTTATCCTCATCCTCCTCCTCCTCCTCCTCCTCCGCCTTCGCCGCACCTCGCCTCTGCCAGATGATGTGGAGGAGGGAGACTTAGGAGTGAGAAAGAAGAGAAGGAAGAGGAGGAAAAAGAGGAGGAAGAGGAGGAAAGGAAGGCGGATGGATGAGGAGGCTCTTGTGGTTGGTTGGTGGAGGGGGGTTAGGGGGGGCCAGGGGGAGGATGAGGGGGATGAGGATAATGGGTGAGAGGGGGGAATATATAAGGAGGAGGGAGAGGAAGAGGAGGAGGAGGAGGAGGAGCAGCGATCCCACTCCCATCCATCCCTCTATTCCTTAATTTGCTACACCCGATCTTTTTTTTGTTCTCTCTCTCTCTCTCTTTTCTCTCGTCCTCCTCTTCCTTCTCCTTCTCCCTTCCTCCTCACCCAAGACCCTAATACACTGGAGCATGTCAGGACCTTTTACCACGATGATCCCTTTCCGTCCTCGGTATCCTCCTCACCCTCTTGTTCCGCCCACCCCCTAGCCAGCAAAAAAAAATCCAATAAGGATTTTATTCGGAAGCCTCCTCCTCTTGCCGCGATTGGGGCCGCTCGTCCAGATACCAGGTCTACCACGGACGCCCCAGGGGCCCCCCCTAGCCACCCTCCCCCTCCTCCTCGCCTGCCTCCCCCCGCGTTTTCCTCGTCCTCGCGCTTCAGTGCCCAGCGCAGGTGGGGCCCATGCCAAGAAGCACCCCGCTGGCCGCCAGGGTGCCCAGGGCTCCTTGGGCCTCGATGGCCTTGCCGTGGGCAGCGCGACGTCCCCCCACGCCGAAGAGCGGTGGACGTCGCGGGGTCTCAGGGCTGGGCTTCTTGCTTCCGGAAGGTCTCCGGTGGTCGAGCCCCTGCGGCGAGCCCATGCGCGCGGCGCTCCCCGCTCCTCTCCGACCAGGTCTGGCCAGAGCGCCGACGCACCGCCCAGAGGGCGGCGCGAGGGCGCGACGCTGCCGAGAGCGGTGGGTGACCGAGCAGCTCCCGGGGCCTGGAGCGCTCCGGCGAGAACGCTGGCCCTGAACTCGTCACGGCGCCCGGACCTGGTGCTCCCCCTCCCACTCGGTGTCGCTGAACCGATCGATCCCCATCCGCATCCTCACGTCTCACACCGCCTGTCACTGTAATTTATATTGGTTCGAAGTGCGCCGGCAGCGGCGCAATCCATATATCACCGAGCCGTCGCGACAGCAGGCAGTGCTCAAAACGTGCTGGCTCGGGCTGCACCTTGTATTGAATAATACATCGAGCGAGTCAGGCATCAGTCAGGGACTTGCAGTGGTACATCATCCACATCTCGAGCCCCAGCGCCTCACCACCTCAGTTGGGGAGATGCCCTTCGAAACCCGAAGAGAGCAGTCCATTTCCCCATACAGGGGAGTGTATCGGCCAGTAGGGCCCAGCCCGCGCTGGTGGGGATGGGGATCGGTTAAACGATGCTCATCCAGCTTCCTCCGTGTGTTCTCAGCGCGGCTCCCCAGACCTCTGGGCTCCTTCTCGGGGCCGGCTTTTTTCACCCCGCGGTCCTTCTCTGACGACCCTGAGGGCCCAGCAGGGGCCCCGGTGGGCCGAAGATGGCCCACAAAAGTCCCGTGATGTTTTTGCTCCGGACGCGGAGATGTCAGGGGCTGGCGTAAACCGAAACGGCGGCGGCCCCTCGGCGGAAGGGCGGCGGAGCACATTTTTTGGTATCTCAGAGCGTGAATTACCTTCCCCGCTTTCGCTTCCAGGCAAAACAAAGTCATACCATGCGCCTCCTCGTCAAGCGGCCTGACCAGTACATGCCGTAGTTTGGCATCGCTTCGTATCTCTTGGAAGCGAGGGTGGTCAAAAGCGAGGTAGGTTTGTTTGCCCCCTAGTATCCTTGGGAGGCCCCTTCTCCCCAGCCTCTTCTTCCCATGCCCGGCGCCAAGTCGCAGTCTGGCAGCCCCACCTGGCTATACCTACTGCCGGGCCCGCGACGACAGTCAGCCCGCACAGTAAGGATGGGGCGAACTTCCCCCAAAGGTACCTTTGCATCCTTGCCTCCTCGGCCCGTCCTTGGCCGCGCTCGCTGGCCGCGCCCCGCTCGCACAGTGTCGACATGGCCCTCCTCCAAGGCCCTTGCCTCCTTGAATCATCGTGCGTCCTTGTGCTACGGGTTGCCTGCAAGAGATAGTGCTTAGGTCTCCCCGATCTCCCCCTCCCTCGCCCCCTCCCTCGCGCCCCGCGCTCGGTGGCCGCGCCCACTCGCAGAGTGCCGGCATGGCCTTCCAAGGCCCGTGCCTCTTTATCATGCGTCCTTGTGCTACGGGTTCGCTGTAAAAGGTTTATGATGTTCCAGCCCACTTTAGCATTGATCACCACAACGAATTTCGAGCAGCAAGAAAGTACCCAAACTCGAGGGTTTGCACGTGTCGCGCCCTGGGAGACACTCGCTCGACACTTTTTCGACACCACTGCGACACTTTCTCGACACCTGTCTGGGTGCTCGAGATGATTTCTGGGATGTGATCCTTAAGTACGATGGGAGCAACATAATAAAAAGGTGCTTCTTTAGCTCTCCCCTCGGCCCCTCCCCTCGTGGTTCGTGGTGGTTCGTCCCCCTCGGCCCCTCCCCTGAGCCTGAGCCCCAGCTCCCCTGGGCCACCCACCCTCCGGAGCCTTGCTCCGCCCGGGCTTCCCAGGGCAGCCCCTCATTGGGCCGCGGAACCCCTTCTTGTGGTAGTGGCTTCTGGCGGCTCGCGCCCCTCCCTTGGTGCAGGAGCCGGCGCACGCGTGCCACTTGCTCAGGCCTCCCCGCGCTCCTCCTCCTCCTCCACTTCCTCCTTCTCCTCCTGCTCCTGCTCCTCCTCCTCCTCCTCGTCCTCCTCCTCCTCCTCCTCCTCCACTTCTTCCTTATTATCCTCCTTCACTTCCTCCACCTCCTTCTCCTCCTCCTCCTCCTTCTCCTCCTCCTCCTCCTCCTCCTTCTCCTTCTCATTATCCTCCTCCTCGTTCTCCTCCTTCACTCCGCGCCTCGCCCGCCAGGAGCCCTGCCGCGCCCGGCTCCAGCCGGGCGCCGCCGCCCAGGGCGCTGCCAAGCCCGCCAAGGCCGTCGACCTCTGGGCCTCGGAGGCGCCGCGGGCGGCGGCCGCCGCTCGCTCGCCGCGCCGCGGCGGCCGCGGGCGCGCCGCTCGCTCGGTGCGCTGCGGCGGCCGCCGCTCGCTCGGTGCGCCGGCGGCCGCGGGCACGCCGCCTGCGCTCGTCTGGGCCTCCCACGTGGGGTCGGAGCAGACGGGGCCGGAGGGTCGCGCCGCGTCGGCGACGCATCGCCGATGCGGCTCGACGCGGGGCCCGATTCTCTCCACGCCGACGTCGCCGATGCGTCGCCGACGTCGGCGATGCATCGTCGGTGCATCGGCGATGCATCGCCGATGCATCGCTGAAGCATCGCCGATGTATCGCCGATGCGGCGCGATCCTCCGACCCCATCTACTCCGACCCCATCTAGGAGGCCTCTATCTCGGGAGCCTTGAGACGGGGGTCGAGGCAAGCGGGGGTCCGCCAGAGGGCCAGGTCCTGCAGGATCCTGCGGGGCCAGGGTCGCACTGGCCCGGGCTCGGGTGCAGGAGCCTGCAGGATCCTGCAGGATCCTGCGCACTGGCCCGGGTTTGGGTGCAGCATCTTGCAGGATCCTGCAGGATGCTGCAAGGCCTGACTGGCCCAGGTCTGGATTGACCCGGGTCAGACGATCCCCGATGCTCCCTTCTTGTGGAAGGTGATCAATGGACAGGAGGCATATTGCCACAGAGTTCCCAGATGGTTAGAACATGTTGGCGATAGATTCCCAACATGCTGAAACATGTTTCACGCCTATTTCGAACAGGCTCAAAACATGCACGGTCAGAGTGTCCACTGTCGTGGCATCCACGCTTCTCTTCTCCCTTCGAGCTTCGAGCTGCAGCAGGAGCTCGACCACGAGAAACCTTTCACAAGAAGCCCAGCCCTGAGACCCCGGGAGGTCCACCGATTTGTGGTATGGAGGCGTCACGTCGTCCATCGCGGAGCCATCAGAACCCGAGAGACCCAGGGCACTCGGGAGGCAAGCGGGGCGTGTCTTGGCATGGGCTTCCTCTGTAGCGGCAGCGTGTCGGCGGCAAGCCCATGGGGGGAAGTCAGAGGGGGCGGGCCTGCTCCGAGGGCTCCGGAGGGCTCCGCATGGCCCTCCGGGGAGCTCCCTGGGAGCCTCCCCCGAGGGGCGCAGGGCTTCTCGGCAGGCCGGGGGGCTTCTGAGAAGCCCCGCCGCCCCTGAGAAGCCCTGCCCCTGGCGATCCGGTGCTCAAAAGCAACTGGAGCGGCGGGGTTTTGAAGGTTTTCGGCCTCTGGGGGCCCTCGCCTGGCCTCGGGGGCGTCGGAGAACAGCGCAGGACGAAAGGCCAGCCCCAGGGAGGTGGTCCAGACCTCCGGGGCCGACGCCTCGAGAAAGCTGGAGCGGCTGGGTCTCTGGGCCCCCTCTCACTCTTCTCCCAGCGGCGCGCCGCCGAGTGTCATCCGAGGGTCGATGCCATCGTGGTAGGCCCCCGCCCGCAGCCTTCGTCGAGGCAGGGGGGATGACAGCAGTTCTGAGATGACAGCGAGCCAACAAGTACAACGAGTGGGTCTGTCTGAAAGCCCGCTCTAACCTACATACTATGCCCTAGGCCTCCCAGATGGGGTCCAAGTAGACGGTGTCGAAGGATCGCGCCGCATCGCCGATGCATCGACGATGCGGCTCGATGTGGAGCCCGTGTTTTCCCACGCCGACGTCGACGATGCATCGCCGACGTCGCTGATGCATCGCCGATGCATCAGCGATGCATTGGCGATGCGGCGCGATCCTCTGTCTCGATACCAGGAGGCCTCTATATACTTGCTCGGTTTTCTGGGGAGCTTCGACGCCAGGGCGTGGCAAGGGACGTGGCGAAGCAGGAGGACGAGGACCCGGAGGTGGGCGACTCCGGGAGGGGGCTACGACCCCTGCGGGTGCGGCTTGCCGCACCCACTATGTCGTGCTGCTGCTGCTACGTCTTCGTGATCAGCGGCCGCGGCACGTGCAACGTTTTGCCTCTATATATACTTCCTTGCATCTCTGCAGAGGCTGCGGCAGGCCGCTGGAGGCCACGGAGGGCTGCCGAAGGCCACTCGAGGCTGCCAGGAGGCGACGAGAGGCCACCGGAGGCAGCCAGCAGCACACCGAAGGCCGCGAGGGGGCCACTACTTCGCCGAGGCGCTACATGTTGGAATGAGCATCCCAAAAAGACTCACCGAATGCAGGTGGTGGAGAGAGAGAGAGAGAGAGAAAACAAAAAAAAAGAACAAAAAAACAAAAAAAAAAACAAAAAAAAATCTGAGCGACGGCACGGCGGGGGTGATGGAGGACCGGCGACCCTCCAATGACGCCCTCGCGCCATGGCAGCATCACGCCGGGAGTTGCTTGGCACTCCTGTTGTCCCTGCTCCTCATCCTTCGGAGGCGACGAAGGGGGCGAATAGCCCAGGAGCGGGCATTGCACGCATTCGCCTGGGAGCCTCGCCCAAGGCATGGACCATCGGCGCCGCTGGATACGTGTTTTGCTCTCTCCTGGACTACTCGCCCCTATCGTCGCCTCCTCCCTCCTTCTCCTCCTCCTCCCCGGCCCGTCGACTGGGGGACCAGTAGGCTTCGTTCCACGGCCTTGAGAAATCTTGAGGCCAAGTGTCATCCGCGCACGGGGATTCCCTTACGAGGTGACACCCACGCGGCTTCGGGATAGCCGTGTTTTCCTCTCTAATCAGTCGTGGCTCCCTCGCTTCCTCGGCGGAGTCATTCGAGTCGCGTGTCCTCCTCCTTCTCCTCCTCGCCTGCGTACATGCGTCGAGACGTGATGCCCCCTGCTGCCTGGACCCCCCCTCTCTGGCGAGCTCGCCGTCCAGCACCGCTCCCGGCTTGAGATGCGCCTCCAACCTACGTGCACTTGCGATGTCACTCGCCAAAGGCCAGGCTTAGGTCGGGCCCTTCCGTATACAGGAGGATCGCAAAGCAATTCTCAAACAAATGATATGGGGACGATTTTGAATATACTTTGACTCTGTTATTATTTATGTTTGTATTTTTATTTTTATTTTGTTGATTGTTGACTATTTTGTTGATTGTTTTTGTTTATTTTTGAATATACTTCGACTCTGTTTTATTCTTCGTCCAAGATCCGCCTGTAGGGGTACCCGCTCGACCTGAGTCTAGGCCAGGCCCGCGCTGCAAATTGCGATCAGACGGATCGGGCGCAGTCGGCAGCAACGTCTCCCCACTGGGAAACGTTCGGGTCATTCTGCGGGGACGCCCTCGCGAAGGCCCGAAGGATTCAGCAGCGCGATTAGCCTTTTTGTCTCAGGCTGGTTTTGCCCCAGTGTGTTGCGAACCGCCTATTCGAGCCATTTGCACCGTTGCGCCATGAGGTCTGTCCGAGCTTACAGCCGATCGGTGCGCAGACTGCCTGGCGTCGTTGCCCGTCTGTTTGCTGCCGCACATCTTGCAGCTATGGCATGGCCGCTGACGGCTGTCATCCCTGACGTCAGTGGCCCTGTCGGCGCGGTTGTCCGGTACTTCAACCGAGAGGGGCGCGCTCGGCGCCACATGTTGGCGCGAGATGCAGCCCTCAGCTTGTCAGGTCGCACTACCGCCGACGGCATTCCAATGGCCGGGGACGAGCTGGTCTACGGCGAGTTCGACCTCGACTTTTTCGCGCGGCTCCTCGCGGCCGCGGAGCCGACAGCAGGGGACAACTTCTTTGACGTGGGGTCCGGAGTGGGCCGCATCGTCATCGCAGCGTCGTTGCTCCAGCCGAACCTCGGCAGCGCATGCGGGCTAGAGATTCTGCCCGCTCTCCACTTGGAAGCAGAGCAGGCAAGCAGATTGCTTGTTTACGCCCCACTGAAGCAGGCCCCACTGCAGTTTGCATGCCTGGACATTTACAGCGAGACTGCTGGGAAGATGCTCTCATTTGCAGACATCATTTTCTCATATTCGGTGACATGGGCACGTGACGACAGGGACCAGCTTACAGAACTGTCTTGTTTATTAGCACGTAAGGTGCGCCCTGGCACCCGGATTCTCGTTGTCGACGTAACGCTCCTGCCCAAGGTTGGCGGCATCCGTTTCGAGCGCATTGCTTCGGTAAAAGGGCACAACGAGGAGACTGGCGAGAAGATTGGTCACGTATATGTAGCACTTGAGGATTGCTCATAGACGCGGGACAGTAATCCTCGCAAGGTTCTTTGCAGACCTTCTTTTTCTTCTCGCCGAATTTCACAGCAACCATCAATACACATATTAGCCACAAAACATGTTCGCGTGGGCTGGAAGCACCATCTGCCTCTGTTGCGAAGGCCAAGGTTTCGCGCGTTGGCTCGCCCAATGCGGGTTGGTCCGCACCTGATTCTGGGTTTGCCGGATGCCTTTTGGCAGCGACAGTTGGCACGCGTCCGCGATGGAACAACATGCATGTCTGGCTTAGAGGCGCGGGGCCAGAGAGAGAGAGATGGGGACGGGAGGGAAGCGGTGGGGAAGGGAGAGCCTGAGAGCCGGAGGGGGCCGGGCCAAGCTTCGTGAGAGGGGGCAGGGGAGAGGGGGGGCGGAGGGGGGAGCTTAGCAGCCTCGATACGCCCGTTTTGATACGCAACACGTGCCGTGTTCAGAACGTCCGTGTCAATACGTTGCGTGTTGGTTCAACGTATTGGCCCACGTTTTGGCGAACGTGTCGCGTCAGACCTGCGTGTTCAGTCTACGTGCTGAGCTCCGTATCAATACGCTACGTGTTGCGTGTTGCGTATCGGGGCAGCTTAGGGGGGGAGGGACAGAAATCTGAGAGGGTGGCGATGGCTACGGTCGCAGGAGCAGTAACAAACAGTCAGCGCGCCTGGTAAGGACGCGCGCCTTCATCGGGGGTGCCCTTGTGTCCTTACCTCTGCGGCCCGTTCTCTGCCGTTTCCTCTGGTCGCCCGCCGCCCACAAAATCCAAACTTCGGCCTCCAATGGTCTCGCGTCCTTGCCGCCTGTCCTGACTATACGTCTTGACTGTAATAAGATATTCGCGCGGTGTCTCCCGAGAGAGGGGGGCCCGA